CATCCCCAGCACTGGCAGCTGGGCAATTTACTGCCGCTTCGGTGGACGCCAAATGAATATTGGTTTCGGTTTGGCCCACTGGGGGCTCAGCTCGTATTTGATTTTGGCTTTAGCGTATTGCCAATATTTGTATTTGTCTTTGTCTTTGGCGCTGTCGCCGCCCGAAACTTCAAAGTATCATTTTCAATTTGACACAGGCCCTGGCAAAGGACACTGCCAGGCTCAAAGCTGAGTGGACTGGAGCTGGGGTGTTTAAATAGAACATTTGCCGGAGCTGCGAGCGAGGAATTGCGGGCACCGCAGTCGAACCGATCCCACGAAACGCAAAAGTTCACACAATGAAAAATTTGTTTATTATTTCGCTGAAACATGCAAGTGAAGATCAAATTTGATTGGCACTTGGTTCCGAGCTTAAACTCAGTTCAATGCTGAGATTCGCATAAACATTTTGTCCATCCTTCAGCCGGAACGAAAGCCAATTCCATGCTGATTATAAACAAACCCCGCAGAGCTGCAGAAAGACCAAAATGCCAAAATGCCAAGACAAATAAACCACAACAGCCCAATAATAAACAGGACGGAGCAACGGCCAGTTCTGTAGTGGGAGTGAGAGTCGGAGTGAGAGATGCCCTGGGAGTCACCGTTCCCAGTCTGGCAGCCAGAGACGAGGGCAGCGGGACCAACAGCACTAAAATTGACATTAAACAAACAGGGATAATACTCAGGGTCCTCGAGCAGGCGAGGGAAAGACATTCAGATATTCAAAACTAAATTGAGCACATGCTGGGCCACTTCACAGATACAAACTCCACTTGAGGCTCTGCCGAAGAGTGCCCGTCCCCGTCCCAGCTCCAGTTCGTGGCTCGGCAGGCTCAACAGTCGACCAATCTCCGAGTGCGGGCAGACAGCATGTCTATCAATGCCTGCCAGCGACTGCAGCTCGATTGGGAACTGGACCTGGGCGTAGGCTGTTGACACAGATCAGCACACCGGGCAGCAAAATAATTTGGTACTACACTGAGAGAAAAATTCCCATACACTTAATATATAGATATATTCAATGTCTGATATGAGGAGTGTGAAAGAATGGAGCAGGCCCAAGGTTCGCGAAGAAACCTTAGTCTGAGACTGCATTCATTTTCCTTAGTGTAGTGTGCGACTCAGACAGAGACCGAAATCTAAACATCTGCGAAATTACGCGCATAAATCCTTTCACACTTTTGCTCTGCCCTGGACACGGCACTGGGGGATGCAGTGCGCATGGGGTTGCATGCCACGCAGGACACCGTCAAATTAGCCCACTTCAGGGTCAGGCCTGCTGCGTGCTAGCGGGTGTAGTGCAGCGGACTCCCGTGTCGCTTCATGCCCATTGTTTACGCACTTCATATTCCATTCGGCGGGTTGCACGATTGGGGAAACTGGAGTAGAAGTAGCTCCCTGGCCGGGGACTCGCCGCACGCGTTGTGTTGACAGTTTGCTGGGCTTCCTCTCACCACAGTGCAGCTGCGTTTGTGGGTGCCAGTGGAAGGCTTCGTCGGAGCCTACGTCTTGGGCATGACTGGGCACGGATTGAGGCCCTCTGCCAAAACAAACAATGACACCACCACCCGCCCCAGACGGGGCATTTCTAGTTGACTGCCCGCCAATAGAGCCGTGGAGGCGAGTGCTACGAAGAGCAAATGTTTCCATCTAATGACCCCTATCCCTTACCTATCCCTTGCCCGGCCTGCGGCTGATGGTGGTCCTGCGTTCTGCCGCCTGCCTCCTGCCTCCTGGCTCCTGCAGCACATTTTCAAGCAGTCTTGTGTGGTTACTTAGACTGGTTTCTTTGCCGCCTCACTCACCTCCCATGCACGAGTATTTGTACATATATCCTGCCAGGCACTTTCCAGCGCCTCCGGTCGGTGTCTGTCCTGGTCTTCATGCCTCTTTAGCGCTTATCATGCTCAAATGATAATTGAAGAGCCATACAAAAACTATTTATCCTGAGGCTGCCGAGCGTGCCCCTTGTTGCTGCTGCTGCTGTTGTTGTGGTTATTCAATATTACTCTGTCTCCGCAGCCCATTGACGGAACGAGAGCGAGCGAGGAGCCGCACAATGAATGCATTGAACCCGAATCATGCTCTGAGTCTGAATCTGAATCTGCCCTCCCAAAACCCAAACCCAGCCCGGACCCAGAGCGGCTACCCTTTGCCCGTTTGTTTTTCGATGTTTTATTAAATTTGTTTCCAGTGGCCTAACATTTTGCCTTTGGTTGACTACGACACGACCCCTTTGCATCCATCCATCCATCCCTCCCTGTCCCTGATTCCTGTCGCTCTTCTCTGACGAGTTTTATGACAATTTCCACTTTTTTTTCCATTGTCAATTTGATTTTATTACCGCACTCTGTCGTTCTGTCTGTCTGTCTGTCGTTATCCCCGTTCGGATCCCAACTTATCGGCACTATGATGTTGTCATTATTATTCCGATTAGTGGATGGGAAAGGGGATTGAGGATGGCTGTAGCTTTTAGCTAACGCATCATTCGATTGTGTGTGGCCAAGGTTAATTGAATTCGGGCTGCGTAACTATCTGCCGGATACCGATACGATACGATACGATTCACTGTATCTTTATGGTGCCTGTAAACCATAATTTGGTCTGTTTGCTTGCGAGCTCAGCAGTGGCCAGCGAATCGGCCAGGGAGCCTCCCCACCCTCTGCCATTATCTGCTGGCTCCCTCTGCTGTGCACTTTCCGGCCTAATTATGCACACGCCTCCGAATCGCTGTCCGATTGCCATAAAGTCATAAAGCTTGACATTTCGAAGCGGACTTTGCCCAGCCAGTCGTTAATTAATGCATAAATGTGGGGGGTTATAGATAATTATTATTATTATTATAAAAATACAATCGATTTATTTATTGTTTAATAGAAATTACAAAATATTCTGCAAGTAATTTTAAATTCGTAGAAATCTCTTTACAAACTGTTGTCTCTATGCTTTATGACGCTGATGACTGCATTTCAATGACTTTGTTGGTCGGAAAACATTTGGAACGAGATTAACAACAAGTCGGAGCTGTTTTGACTACAAAATACCCACTAAAAACCAAAAATCTCCAAATGTATTGCTTATGAAGGCGGCGTCTAAAATAAATTAAATCGTATATGCCCAACTTCACGGCGAATACCGTGCTAAAAATCGTGCAGCAGATACTTTTTCGCTGCTTTGTTATAATTCCACAGCAAATGCGCACATTGCTTCAATTTCAGTGGCCTTTGTGCCAGTCGAAATCGGTAAATAAAGTTTTCAAAGTTGCACAAACTGGCAGCAGAAACAGCAGCAGCAGCAACAATCGTCGAGCGGCAAGGTGGGGGGCGGCGGCGAGTCGAGCAGCAGCAGCAACAGCAGCAGAGGGAAGCTATGCCAATTCCGTGTACAAGTGCTGCTCGATGCCAACAAGTTCGCCCACTCCCGCAAGGTATCCTAAGCCCTGCCAAAACATATCCAGCTTGCCTGGCACTTTTACGGCACAAGTAGCATCGGCGTGTAGCTGTAGCTGTAGCTACCGTGGATGCAGGAGGGGGCGGCAGGGCAGGGCAGAATCATTGAAGCCAAAGCCTAGTCTTAAGCCAAGAGCCAACATCAAGTTGCCGAAAGCCCAAAGCAAAAGGGGGGCACGGAGCTCCGGCTCTAGCTGCGACTCCAGGACTCCAGGAAGAACGAAGCCTCAGAAGTAGCGCCAAACTTTTGTGCACGGCGCCATGTTTGGTTTGTCTTTTCAGCTTCCGCTTTCTCCCTGTTACTCGGCTTTCCTTTCCTTTCCTTGCCCTTTGTGAAGGGGTGTTTGTATTTGCGTGGGTGAATAGTTGGCTTTGGCAGGGCTGCGGAAATGCCTCTCCCAGTTCGGTTGACTGTCTGGTATACAGGGTGACAAGGTTCTTCTTCAACAGATCCTCAGATCCTTCAATATTTCGAAAACCTTATCGTTCTGGTGCACTGTTGTGGACCCTGTGTCCAGGGTGTGGAATAGCTCGGCTGACGTCCCGCGCTCTTTGGCTGTTTATACCCAAAAAACTTTGCCGACCCGCAAAAGTTAAATGCAAGAGCATAAAAACGGCAAGAAGACAAGGCCGTCGTTCTGGTGCTGGTTGGCCTTCTGGTCCAGTCGTGCCACTCAAACGGGGGGCAGCAACAACAACAACTCCAGAAATTGTCGCTGGCTGTCGTTGCGCGCCGAGCACGTCAAAGTTGCCGCCAGTGTCGTCGTTGCAAGTATGTCTTTGTGTCTTTGTGTCTTTCTGCCCCAGCAGCATCGTCGGGTGCACCCACGACCCATCATCGCCTCCCCTCAGCCCGAACTGCGGACTCGAATTTATGCCACGACGAGCCACAAAAACAATAAAAGCAACAATCTGCTCTCAGCGAGAGAGAGAAATCAGATGGATGGATATATATGTATATGTAGCCGCAGAAAATGGTTGCCGTTGAGTGCGCGGGGTAGGCGAGGACCAATCGCAGGCCGCTGAGGTGTGGCCTGGCCGATGCGAGGGAAATATCGCACGAGTAAATTTCCCTTCGGGCACTGCGCCCGAAGCGGCTAATAATCACTTGAGACATGCGCACAGGCACAGGCACAGGCACAGGGACACGATGACACGGGGGTTGGGAATGGGAATGAGAATGGGAATGGGTATGGTACTGCCTCTCATGCAACCCTTGCAGTGCCGCTGCCCCAGCTCCCATCTCCTCGGCACGTGCAGCAGTGGGGTTCCCAGCAGTTCTGGCTCTGTTGCTTTTGTAAACAGGCGCAGGCGCAGAGTGGCATCTCCGCTGAGAGCGCTGAGAGGGTGACTGAGGGTTCGCTCGCTATGTGTATGTGTGTGTGTGTGCGTGTGTGTGTGCGGGGGTACATTTCAGAATGGGACTTTTTGGCACTGCCGACGCAGCAGCGAAGGGCAAAGTGAAATGCTTTGATTCCGCTGATTGTTCGATCACACGCAATCTGACAGCGAACGCAGCTGGTTGTGCCTCCTGCAGCTCTGCAGCGAAAACCCCTCAATCTCCGACAGACAGTCAGTCAGACGACAGTCAGCCCCAAAGACACAAAAATTTCTCGTATTTTTAAGTGGAGCCACAGAGCCCCGTGCAAGTGTCCCATCCGGCATCCGGTGTGTGTTCGTGTGTACGTTTACGTGTTTATGTGTCTGTGTATGTGGTCGCGATTTTTTTGTCCAAGAGACTCGAACTGTAAATTCGTCAGCCGGCGTCAATAAGATGTTGGAGTTCTATCCAATGCCCACGAATCTGAATCCAGTCGGTGGCGGCCTGTACTCGCTGCAGCAGAATCACGGCGGCGCGCGATTCCTCGACAGTCCGAATCCCAGTGTCATGACCAGCGCCACAGCCGCCTGTCTGGGCGGCAGCAGCAGCAACAACAACAACAATGTGCACATTATCAACAACAATTTGCCAACAAGCATTTCCGGCAACAACAGCCCGACAGCAACGGCTTCATTAACGGGGCCCGTAATTTCCGCACAACACCAGCAACAGCAACAGCAACACCTACACCATTCCCACCATCATCATCAGCATCAGCAGCAGCAGCAGCAGCATCCCCACCAACAGCAACACGCAGCCTCGACCACGCCAGTGCCAATTAACAGCTGCCCCACGCCCACAGGACACAGCCCCAACAACAGCAACCACTCCGCCTGCAACACATTAACAGCTGCTGCTGCTGCTGCTGCTGTTTCTGCTTCTTCTGCGGCAGCGCCACCAGCAACAGCTCCCTCAGTCGCCTCCTCGTCATTAGGCGGAGCAGCCACGGCTGCTTCTGCTGCGGCTGCTGCTGTTGCGTCTGCGAACTCAACGACGGCATCGGCAGGAGGAGGAGCGGCCACGGCGCTGGCGTTGGCATCGTCATCGGCGGCAGCATCGAAATTGTCTGCCGATTGTAGTGGACGCACAGGTATGTTCCAAAAGTATTTTGCACCGGCAGTCGAGGCATTTTCCGGCTCGTTCCGATTCTGGGGTTTTCACGCTTTTCGTTTTTGGCATAGTTGCGTGTGCCCGGCCTGCGGGTCGGATCGGAGCGGAGCGGAGTTCTTGGGCCAAGCGAGGCAGCTCTCTCTGCACCGGAAGTGCGTGGCATGGCCCTCCGGGTGCTGCCCACTCACCTTCACGTGAAACGAGATTGTGCACCAGATTGTGTTTGCAGTTTGCGTGCGATGTTCTGGGCTTTTGGGTCTAAGGGAATTCGTGTGCCAGTTTTCCATATAATCTGCATGGGCGCTGTATGGGGAGTATCTCGGCAAAAGGGACTGTAATTGATTAGCAGCCGTTGAATTTAGTTGGCCTACAGAATTTAATAATAAATAATAATAATTTAAATCTGAATTCATAGTTTATTTTCTTTAGCTTAAATGGGGACAAATTATTTATTTATTTCCCGGCTTTGATCCCGTTCATGCAAAGTTAATGATTTCCCTTTGTTTACTTAGCACACAATTTTAATTATGTCGAATAAACGAATAATTTTAAGCGAAATAATTCAGTAGGTTGCTGAGCCGCTACACTATTTATTTAACAACTAATTGCAACTCTAGTCTAGGCAGTTGAATTCAATTTGTTTGCACTTTTGCTGCATGTGCAAATAAATATCAAAATAAATACAAAAATTTTTCTATCAAAGCGAGTATTGGCAGTGCGCCACAGAATGAATTATGAATTTATGATGGTAGGTAGGTAGGTAGGTAGGGACATGCCACAGCGGGCGGTGGCGGGCCGAAAGTATTTCCAAAAGTATGAACGCAAGTTGACCACAAAATAATTCTGACAATGAACCTGGCTGGCACTGCCCGTACGAAGGGGCGTGGTGAAACCAATAAAAGGCTATTAAGGCATGCCACACACCCACACACACGCTGGCATGCCTCCACACACACACACACACACACGTAGAGACTTGCCCTAAAGTAGGCAACACTTTTCAGCTTAGCTGCAATGAAAGTGTTGCCGGGGAGAAAACTTTTGCGCAATTCCCCCCGAAATGCAAAGTGTGCAAACAATGTGTGATGCATATGCAGGACCTCGTCCGAGCCGAAGTGGATGATGGTGTTTTGGGTTTTTTAGGATCACACGAGAGACTTTCGAGAGACTCCGCCGCCACCCCCGCTGGGCGCCACACCTCAAGCCTCACGTAGGAGTGAATGTGGGCTGCTCTTTTGCCGACAAACTTGAGATTTGCCTATGAAATTTCTATTAATGTTTGCATTCTGCCATTTGGCAAATGGCAGCAAATAGTTTCCGGTTCCGCATCCATCCAAGCGTTGCCATCGCCTCGTCCTGCCTCACCCAGGCCTGGCTGCCGTGTCGGGTTGCCAATCACTTAGCTTAGCTGCCGACCCACACTACGGCACTACATAGTGTGTGTGTGTGTGTGTGTGTGTGTGCACACCCGGAGTCTGAAAGTCTGAATTCAAACTATCAAAACCAGGAGGAGTTGAGGAATGTCGGTGCGGGGCATGGGGCACGGGGCATGGAGCGTGGAGCGTGGGGCAATCCCAAATGGCTGCAGCCGGCTGGCAAAGGCAGTGGCAGGCAGACCACGGAAATGAGCACACTCAGTGTCAGGTATTTCACCGAGCGTATCAGCATACATATCTGGCTTCTGCGGTGGCCTCAACTTGCTCCTGCCCTGTCTCTGCCCCTGTCTCTGCCCCTGTCTCTCTTAGTGTGGGTGTGAGTGTGGGTTTTGTGCGAGCAGAAGCGGAAATATGCGCCATATGCATAGCTCTGTGTCACTTTCATTCTGAGATCCAGCAGGTACAGATAGCCGGGGCTTTAAATTGCTGCCAGTGGCAATAATTAAAGCTGTCAGAGCTGTCTATCCAGTCGGAGCTGCCAAAAATCTCCGTGGCACGTGGACGCGGCCGTAGTAAGCGCCCCAAATGAGGCACCGGCTCCCCAATTTATCTCCATAGACCTCCGCTTGCCTGTCAGTGTGTCAATAAATGCACACCATATACTGCCACAGTGCCACAGTGCGGAGGAGGGGCCGGAGCCGGGGCACGATAAGCCAACTCTGATACCACAGCCGATACCGATAAGAACGAGGACACTTTCGACGCTGTTGTCTATTAGCTGGTTATATTTGCCCGTTTATCGCCGCGTTGCTTTTGCTTTTGCTTTTGGATTTATCTGCTCGTTAATCTATGTATTTGACATGAGTGTGTGCCGCACTTGTTTCCACTGTTTGCGCTTCTTGCCCTGTTTGCCTGCTTGCCTGTTTGCCTGCTTGCCTATTGACTTTTTCCAACGAGTTTCGCCAGCTCAGCCCTGATTCGAATGGGTCCTTTGTCCTTTGCTGAAACAAAGCAAGGATCGAGTCATGGGAGAGCATAGAGCAGCAAATGCCATAAATCTCGATTAGATTACACAAACGAAACGTCAATGGACAGAACACGAACCAATATCGCCACCACCAAACCGAAGGCTGGGGGGGGGGACCAGCTCAAATCCGAGTTCTAAAAAATGTCCCCATGCTCGGGGCTGAATGACAGTACTTTTTGTTTCTAGCTGCAAAATCCGTTATGGGCAATGCGATTGGGTCGCGTCTGATGTATGCACTGCACAATGCACCATATATTGGTGCACCAAGGGCTACAGGGGAATGGAGTGGATGAGCTGCTGCTTTGGGGGGGTTGGGGCGTGCTTTGTCAACTTCACGCTGCACTGGCTTAGCTCTCGCAGCGCTGGCGCCCCTAAAAAGCGAGCTTCTGCCCCCCAACAGAACACACACCCCTACACGTACGTACATACCGTATATCGTAGATATGGCGGCTGTGGGGTCCGCCATTGTGCCAACCATAAATCATGCACATTTTTCTGCCACTGAGCCACAGCCATATAATATAGCAGCACACTCCCATCCAGTGGCCCGTCCTTCTGGCTGGCTGACTGCCTGCCCTGCTGCCTGGCTGCTCATTTTTCAGATGCTTCCATACATTTTTCGTCATATATATATGTTTTTTTATATGTTTACTGCAGGCAGCTTTTGCTGTGTGTTTCGGGTACTGCTTTTTATGACTGGTTTACAGTTTCAAGAGCGCGTCTATGGGGAAGCAGCAGCGGATGGAGATTAGTCGCGCTCTGTGGGTGGGTTGGCCAAACAGAGGGAGGAATTCATCATAAGGGAATTATGTACATACACACATATATATCTATAGGCAGCACAGATCTTAAATGATGTATGTATTGTGCATTGAATACAAAAAGTTGAAACCAATTTAGTGATTTAGTCAGGGCAGGGCATATACAGATAATCGTGGCACCCACCCGCCCAATGGCAGCTCGCACAAATACAGAAAACTTTACGTTTCAATTACGCATCAGCAACCTTTCAATACAAGCTGTTGCAGCTCCAGGCCGCCGGTGACAGATACTTTTGCCGCTGCCTGCCTTCGATGATTGCCGGATCCAGTTCGAGGCTTCTGTCTTCTGGCTTCTGTCTGTCGAAGCCAAACAAGGGAGCTGAGACATTTTCACACGATTTGATTGTCATGCCCCTGGAACGCTGCTGCTCCCTAGCGCTGCTGTGCTGTGCTGTGGCAGCACATGTCATGATAATTTTGCAGCGACATGTGCTGCCATCACGTATACGCCACCGCCACCGTAACTGCCACCGCCACGCACGTCAATGAGGGGGATGAGCGGGATTCGGATTACGCGAAATCGATTTTATAACTCACTAACGCCTTGCCCTCCCTTCTCCTCTCTCTCTCCCTTACTCTTCGCAGAAGTGGGCCACATCAAATGCGAGAAGAACTTCGAGCTGTGCGAGGGCTGTGGCCAGAAGATCCACGACCGCTATCTGATGAATGTGGGCGAGGCCAACTGGCACGAGCAGTGCCTGGCCTGCTGCTACTGCGGCATGCAGCTGCACAACACCTGCTACGTGCGCAACTCCAAGCTCTACTGCAAGATGGACTACGACCGTTTGTTCGGCGTCAAGTGCGCCTCCTGCTGCCACGCGATCCTGCCGCAGGAGCTGGTGATGCGGCCCATACCCAACTACGTCTTCCACCTGCCCTGCTTCGTGTGCTACGCCTGCCGGCTGCCCCTGCAGAAGGGCGAACAGTTCATGCTGCGCGACGGCCAGCTGTTCTGCTACCGCCACGACCTGGAGAAGGAGATGTTTCTGGCGGCGGCGGCGGCCCAGCACTGCGGCTTTGTGGGCCTGGACGAGGAGGATCTGCTGCGGCCACGAGACGGACGTCGCGGTCCGAAGCGGCCGCGCACCATTCTCACCTCACAGCAGCGGAAGCAGTTCAAGGCCTCCTTCGATCAGTCGCCCAAGCCCTGCCGCAAGGTGCGCGAGGCCCTGGCCAAGGACACCGGACTGTCGGTGCGCGTCGTTCAGGTGTGGTTCCAGAATCAGCGCGCCAAGATGAAGAAGATCCAGCGCAAGGCCAAGCAGAATGGTGGCAGCTCGGGTGGATCTGGAGGCGGCCGTGGCACGGGCAACTCGAGCGCCGCCGATGACAAGGAGTCCAATGAGAAGGAGGACAAGTGCGTCAAGCAGGATATGGGCGGCGACAGTTCGGGCTATCTGGGTGGGCTGGACAACGCCTTTGCCAGCCAGCCGCTGAATCCCAACTTGCCCTTCTCTCCGGACGGTAAGCAGAACTCATCTCCGCCATACAACAGACTTTGAGCCTTTCTGCCTTTCTGCCTTTATTCCGTTCACAGATTATCCGGCAAACTCGAACGACAGCTTTTGCAGCTCCGACCTGTCGCTGGATGGCAGCAACTTCGACCAGTTGGACGACGACGCAGATTCCCTGTCGCTGAACAACCTGGAGCTGCAGTCGACCAGCTCATCCGGGAATCAGCACTCGCACTCGAATCCCCACGACATGCTGGCCAACCTGAACACCAGCCTGATCAACCCGATCGACAAGCTATATCTCATGCAGAATTCGTACTTTAGCTCGGAGCATTAGGCACTCGTATCGGTGCATCGGTGGATTTGGAGGCTACAGAGGCACCGTGGCGAAGACTCGCCGTCGTACGAATTTATTAGCGTTAGAGTTAAAGGCTCCCATTGCACGGCAGTTAAGCACCCCATGGCCAAGGCGGGGCAAGCGGCAGCGGCAGCGGCAGCTGTTACTTTATAAATAGCTCATAGTTGGCATATTTCCGCGGGAGGCATTTCGGAGACGGGCGGCTGCAGCATTAGAAGCATTCGAGTTGTAGAAGAAGATAAATGAAATGTGATTTTTTTTAAGCTAAATGAAATTTTAAGGCACACACATACAAACACACACACACCAGCGAGACGAGACGTTTTGTTGCTGGTCTCTTGTGGAAGCGAGTGCATAACATATACATACATACGTACGTACATCGGTATATATGTATGTATGTAACGATATGTAGAACAGCCGAAAGGTAAACGGTCAATGTGCACCTTATGTTTGTAAATAGTTTTAAACCGGACAATTGTTATTAAATGTAATTTAAAGTCAATAATTGTATTAGCAAGTGCAATTTAATCTGTTCCCCTAAAATATACATCTTAACCGAATGCAGTATCCTCATTTTCTGGGCATATGAGGCTGGGCTTTTCATGGATAAAGAAATAAAACTCCCTTGGGAGCCGTAGCTGTGATACCCTTGGCTGATCCAACGTTTCTGAGGCGCTATATATTTGGGAAAGTTAGTAACGCCCGTCTGATTTTTTGTTTGATAGATCTTAAGGGATTTTTTCATATTGCATTACATAAGGGATATTTAAAAAAATAACGATGGAAGTTGTTTTAATTCCATTCAATTGAAACCGCCAAACGTTTACGTTACTTCTGTTGGAAGTTGCCAGCTATGTCACTTCGCCCAACCGGTTATGTTGATGTGCCAGTCAAAGGCTGCCTGCTATGTCACTACACATTTTCTACCATTTTGTAGTACTGAAGGAAGCTGCTTAATTTGGCGCCGAAACTCAATTTTGTGAACAAACACAAAAATAATTTGAAGGGAAAAGGACGACCACCAAACGACATTATCGTGCGTCACACCCGTGGAGGCTCTATACCATCCACCGCAGTACAGTGGGTCCTCTCAATCTGTTCCAATTTTAGTTACTTTAATGTCCATAGACAACTGGTTGGGAATCGATACATATACTTGTCGAATCATGCAATTATATCTTTTAACCACCAGCTCGAATTCAAAATTCAACTGATGTTGCGGATGACATATTTAAACTATCGAATGTATCGATATATTAGTGCGATATCAAAGTTTGATGCTGAAAACAAAACATGGTATTTTTTCAGTATTTCATAATTAACTTGTTGTGGTATTCTTTAAATTTCAGTTTACGGCCAGATGCACTTGGCGCGGAGTTTAAACTGCAACTATAACGGATTTACAAAGTGCAGAGAATGGCCTCGTAAACTTCAGTCCGTAGCAGTGTTCAGCCAGTTAAAGGAAAGATGTCAGCATATTATATTGCTTAGGAATTTAACCAAATTTGACCAGAATAGAGGAAGAAGAAGCCACCACCGGGTTAGTATTGTATGTACTACATAAAGTTTATTTTATTTAGTAAATATTTCTCGCGCAGATAAATATTAAATATATGTATTATTAGTACAGTTAGTTGTATGTATAATTTATTTAGTATTATTAAGATTCTGCAGATCGCAATGCTATTCGCTTAACTAAATATTGAAATTAGTTATGGGTATGTAAATTCTTTAGTTGACTTTTACATGGTATAGAGCTGGCCTCAGTTGCATCGAGAGGGGGCGGGGATAAAGATAAATATAGAGATAGAGATAAAGCATATTCCTGTCCAGGGCTGTGGGCGGGGGTGGGGGTCTGGGTCTGGGTTTGGGTTTGGGTGAAAAGTAGCAAATATTTCTGAAATATGTACTCGTATGTCTGCCCCTATGCTTGGTATTCGTCTATTTATATATTTTTTACGCTTACATTTAATAGCACAGTTAGTTATAGTTTAATTTCATTTAGGTTCAGCCCGGATCAAGTAAATCATTCGAGAATCATTTCACATTCCAGCAGTTTGTACATTCCTTCTAACCGAACCAACTAAAGACTAAAGTAGACCGGAAAACAACAGATGGGCAACAGATTGAGACTTGCTCGATATTTCAGCCAGCACTGTTAGACATTTACACAGACATACACACATATGAGATACATACGTGGCTTATGGCTTATACATACGCTACGGATATCTTCATAGACTGGTTATCGTTCAGTGGTTAAGCATACATATTGTATTATCAATATCAATATCGATCGTTATAAATTATTGTTTCTCGCATAGTCCAGCACATACCGCACATCCTCTGCCAATCTCTGCCACGATCTTTGCTAACACAAAATTGCGTACATACTCGTATAATTTTGGGTATAATTTCCATAAGATAGGTTATCGCGATACCTGTTTCGTCTATGTAATCGTATTTGTATTCGTATTCGTATTCATATTACAATATTTCATTATGCAGACACTCATACATGCAGTGGGATCTGGATCTGGATCTTAATTTTGATCTTGATCTTGTTGCTGTCGTTAGTTAATCAAATATACTTAATTTACTAATTATTGTTACCATTGTGGATGAGATGTGGGGCGAGTGTGTGGGTGTGAGTGTGTACCTTATGTGTATGTGTGTGGTATGCATTCATGCGTCGTGGGTTATGATAATGAGCCTTTGCTTGCTTCTAGGAATGCTTTGTAAAACGATTTCTTTCCTTCCTTTTTTTTATGATTTTTCATTGTAGATTTTACTTCTTTTTTTTTCTGTATTTTTTTTTTTTTATGATGATTTTCTCTTTTTTTTGTGGACTTTTCTTGCCATGATATATGAGCGTGCGCCTGTGACTTTGTGGATCGTGAGAGCTTAGGCCTGATATTGAAGTGTGTGTGTGTGTGATACAATTCTTGTAAATAATTTCTTGCTTGGTCCATTAACTTATTAACTCATTGCACTAAAAACTACACACGTGAAAAATAGGTGTCCATACAACGAAAAGTGTAAGAGTTGCTTTCAGAGTTGAGCCCGCCAGGATCGAAGGCAATCGGCCAGTGGGTAAGCTTTGCGTTCGAGGTGCAAATGTGATATGCATCGGTGAATCAGTGAAATCTTCACTCTCGATAGCGAGAGATTAGATCGTTAGAAAGATGAGTAGTCGCTGTAGCGAGAGAGGTCATGGGTAATCTGAGTTCTGAGTTGGTGATGATATGATTCGAATGTCGATGATATTGCGAGGATTCAACAACAAAAGTGAGATTACATGTTGATTTTACCATTAATTTTAGATCTTGTGTTTCTACAAATTCACTTTAATTATGTATGTATGTATATATTCTCCTCTTAATACGATTTCAAAATGTATTTAATTGACTATTTTTTTTTTTGGTTTTCGTGTTTTTGATTTTCCCATTGAAACTGCCTATTTGAGAGGGGTCGGGGGGGGGGAGTTATTTTATAACATTTCATATTGTTTCACTTATTGCTTCTCTGTTCAATGTTCAAACCTCGAAACTGAAGGGTCGTGAGTACATTGGGTTACTTGCTACGAATACCATTTGAATTGAATACACGAGTATTTCTGAATATATCTGAATAAACTACATTACTTGCCAGTAATCATCTGGTGCTGCTGCTATGAGAGGAATTGGCTTTGCCTTGCCTTGCTACACATTTTGCTCATTGTTTCTGTGCATTATTTTGTTTCAACTGTTTGCTGTTTAGTGGCATACTAATAAAACACATTTGGTCCACTTAGGACTCTCAAATTCAAATTATTCAAATACTCTCACACGTATATCGAATGCAAAAATCATTGTTTTATATACGCGTAATTTTTCTATTGGCGATCCCCAGTCTCCCCCTTCGATGGTGGGCGGGAAGGGAACTGGAGTCGCTTTTAAAATTTTGTTTTTTGGCTGCTAGCGCGCTAGAGACTCGTTTTGCGGTTGTTGTACACAAAATTGTTGCTTGTTTTTCTCAAAACACCGAATAAATTAGATAACAAAATTACTAAAAACCATTTGCTTCACTTCACTGCGCCTGGGCTCCGCCGTCCTCGTCTTAGTTATGGCCTCCTGCGACTCCTGCACATTTCTTTTACATTTTAATCGGTTAGGGTATGGATTTAAGGTTGTGGGTTGTGCATCTGCATCTGTTGGATTGAATCTGAGATACTTGAACGGATTGCTCGCTCGGTTGAATTTCTGTGGTTCTTGGTTCGCTGCTGTGGGAAAGAGATCAGGTCGATTATTATAGGAACAGAGCATCTCTTGGGGGGGTTTGCTGCAGTTTGCATTTATTTGTCAAAATGAAAATATTTGGCGCCACGAGCCGAGTAGCAAACCAACTTAAATGGAAACTTAAATTTGCGATCCGCTCTGCTGCGGGCGCTGCTGTTCTCTATGAGCTTAAAATAATATCACATTAAAAATGTTGAAATGACTTGATTCGCCAGTTTGGGGAGATTAAACTAGAGCAGCACTTGGAGCTTAAATGGAAATGGGATGGCAAGTAAGTGAAAAATTGAGCCTGGGCCTGCTGCGCTGCACGCTGAGAAATTAAAAATAAACGAGTTTTGGAGACGTTTGGCTTTTTCAAATACTTGAGCGCATCCGTGAACAAAATACGCAAAGCGAACAAAATTAAAATAGCTCTACAAATTGTCTACTTAAGAACTAAATACAATACGCTGGACGATACGATACGATAAAATAAAATAAGATACAGTAAAACTGAACAAAGTAAAGTAAAGTAAAGTAAAGTAGAATGGTAGCATGTAGAATCTATGCAAAACTTACAGAGAGCTAACGCGAAACCTTGAGCCTTACGTCGAATATATATTTATGTATGGTATAATAGGGGAATTTGGGAATCCGGAATGGGTGTGGGGCGCATTCGCCAAGCTTTTTGCTTTGCTGATTAAATTTTGGTTAAGTTTCGTGTCGAGTCGAGTCAAATGTAAAACTAAACACACACTTCGCTGCTCTCGTGCTTCTCCTTCTGCTGCTGCTCCTCCTTCGTCCAGTCCACCACGCTGCTCCTCACTTGGTTTTGGCATAGTTTTGCTCTTTTTATTTTTTTGTTATTTTTTTGTTATTTAATTTACTCGGCTTTCGGGTGCAACTCGTCTCTAGCGCTTGCGTTTTGTCATACGAAGTCCAGCTCGGAACGGGTGCTGTACATCTTGCGCTCCATGGTGCGCTCGAACCACTTCTTGATCTCGGAGACGACCAGCACGGAGGAGGTGAGCGAGACCAGGAACAGGATGTCGTAGGGCGTCAGGGCCTCCGTTTGGAAGACCATCTGCAGCGGTGGAAAGTACACGACCAGCATTTGGCCAATGATCGAGAAGGCAACGGCCAGCAGGAACATGCGATTGGTGGTCAGACCGATGGTGAACACGCTCTTCGTCTGCGAGCGGCACGACAGCGCGTTGAACATGTCAAAGAATACGAAGCAAGTGAATGTCATGGTCGTGTCCCGCTTGGTCTTCCCCAAAGTGC